TAGCACTATTCTTACAGTCAGTGTTTAAGCAAACTAGCCGTTGAAACATCCTATCTTTACCATGGCCAGGTCCTCAGGCACCCGTGCGCGCATCGACGCAGCGGCGATGGCACTGGGTGGTCCCGCTGGCCAACCTAGCCCCTCCCCGCCCCCAATAGCGAGCCGATGCTCACCTAGATATAAACGCGAAGCGGTGGGTGATGAAGCGATGAACGGAGACGCTATCCAGAGCTCCCTCCACGGCGGCGGACTCCCCCCTACAGCGGCGGCAATATTCCCGTGAGCCAAGGCACAAACGACGTGAACGAACGAAGGAATGGGCATCAGAAACTCACCCCAAAGCTACCTGTGGTGGTGGCTTGACTAGGGATGGGCCGGGTGAGTCCGGCCACATGCGCATGGCAAGCTCCGTGAAGGGCAGCGATGGTGCGACCGTGTCAGTGGCGCCGGGAAGGCAGTGGCTGTGAAAATGGGGTGCACATGGGATGGAGGGGAACAGGGTGAAGACACAGTGCCACGGAATTGAATGGAGGTGGACGGTGCGAGGCGAATTGGACGGGCGTTGCTGTTCGGTCTTAAGGTGGCCGACGGCGGGGAATCTCCAAATTGAAGCTCGACATGGCACGGCTGCAGCAATGGGCGAGCTTGGCACGTAGCTAGGTTCCCACATGCGCTTATGGCATGCGCAATTACTAGGATTGGACCGGTGCTGTGAGCTGGCCTTGGCATGGCTCGGTGACGCCGGTGCGACGCCATTAAAGGCGGAGGTGACCGGGGAGCGTAGAGTGGCGCATGCCACTCAATAGAAGCAGACAAGGGCACACCAAGGAGGCTACATGTGTGCGTACGAGTTAGCATGGCTCGTGCGGCCGCAGTGCCTTAATTGGCAAGCCAACGGTGACACGGTCATGTGCCGGTGTAGCAGGCGCGCGCAGCAACGACAATGGCAACGTGACGCAAGCGGTGAGGCACACGCAATGTGACGACGTGACGTAGAGGAGACGTGTGCATGCTGGCGACAACGGCTATGGCCATGCGATGCCACTGCACCCGGGCAGACGACGATGGCGTCTGGCGGAGCAAAGCCAAGCACAACATTCCGTGGGCGGCCCTAGGGCACCATCAGCGGCGCCAGCGGCAGTGTGCATCACGGTGGAGGGGAGGGCCCGCTGCTAGCCAGGGCTACCGGCCATGGTAGCTAGCCGAGCTCGGCCAAGCACGCGCACTCGCTCGCGTGGCCGACGCGCCGATGACGGCATAGGAGTGCGGTGACCGCGTCCACGTGATAAAACCGGCCGGGAACATTATGCGCACGATTTTTAAAGTGTTCGAAAAACCCTAAAACATTGATCTAATCGCCAAGCCACCTATACAATTCTTAAGAGGGCATAATAAGCTACTAAAACAAGCCTTAATACCCCATCACTCCTTAACCCGATTCTTCTAAGAAAATCACCAAACCTAGCTTTATCAAACCACTTTTTAGGCTTACAAAATCGACTAAGTCTTGATCAGATTCGCGTCAAATTCGATTTCCAAGCTATTCGGTATGCTAGCTAGTGAATTTCTTTCTCAACCGCAGGTATTTCATCGCCATCTACAACGTTCATACTTCCAACTTTACTAAAGTTCTGTATATACGTTCTATAGTGTTTTCGTTCAATAAAAATTCATGAACATCCGTACTTGATAATTTCATGCATCACAGACAACCTTTCGTTAGGCATTTCCGCTGGTCGTTTTAAGTTACATATATTGATTTACACTCTATATTACATATATTTACACATAAATATGATGCGCATGTAGTGTTTTAGCAAAAGATTGCACAACGTAACATCGAGGGTGTTACACTCTTCCTCTTACGCGTACATGGGTGCCAGCCACTCTGCGCTATAGAGTTTGGGCTAGTTGGGGCTAGTGATGCAATACAGAACCAACTGGAAAGGCAGTTACTCATATTTAAAACTATGAACAAACTCTAAACAAACATAATGTTTATCTACAACTGATCGCCGAGCTGTATTTGCTATTTCATTACTGCTGATTTTTTCTCCGGAGTTTATTTATCATGTACTACCCGTTCTCCATATTTGTATCGCAGGGGCCTGGTTCAGTCAACGAGCTTATTTTTTACGCTCGGGGACTAGATTACCCAGGAAGGATAAGAAGATCATCGTCCGGGTGGTCGCACCACCTGGCAGTTGGACTTCACCGCCGACCAACTGGTTGGACCGTTAGGCTCATGGACTTCATCGCTGACCAGTTGGTCGGACTGTTGCGCTCACTTCTGCTCAGCTCTCACTTCGCTGCCGACCAGTTGGCCGAACTGTTCGTTGCTCGTGCTTCATCGTTAGCTGCGCTGTGGGCTTACCAGCTAAGCTGGGGACTCCTCGGCGTTCGGATTCTTCGTGCAAGAGTTGCCAGCTAAGGCTGGGGACTTCCTTGGCGGCCGGGTCTTGCTACGTCTTATCGGTGTGCTATCAAGTTGCTCCATGCTTTTCGGATCAGGGTGTTGATCTTGGGCAACATATCTGGGGTCTTGATACGCGCATGTCAGATGACGTCGGCAAGCTTTGAGACTTCTTTTTTTCAACCCTACTACAAGATTTATTTCTTTATCTTCCAGCAGGCTCGAGGACTAAGTGACTACAGTTCACCTAGCGGTGAATGTAGTGCTTATTTCTTGTTGTACCCTCCTTATTGACGGAGTCTACGTGGCTACACTTCTCCTAAGGGGAAGAATTTTCAAATTCTATCTTGAGCCCCTTACATTATTCTGGCAAGCCTTACTTGGCTAAGTCCGAGGTCTCCTAACCAGTTAAACTAGTCGGCATTGACTTTCACCGCCCAGGTCACCAGTTAAACTGGTCGGCTTTGATTTTCACCGCCCAGGTCACTAGTTAAACTGGCCGGCTTCGACTTCCACTGCTCAGATCATCAGTTAAACTGGTCGGCTTCACGTCAAACTGGTTGGACTTGTTCAAGACGGCGCTGCTCAAAGGATATAAGGCGCTCGGGGACTAGCTGTGGGGGGTATAATCCCAGGTACCCATGGCAAGGGACATGGGCCGCATGGTCAGGGACGGTCTAGCCCACAAGATTCAAGACTTGCGACGCACGACACTGCTCGGCGTACACTGTAAGACATCTAGAAGATTTGATTGGATACTACAGATATTGTAATCTAATACTTGTCATGTAACCGACTATGATACTTTCCTTGTAACCCTACCCCTCCAGAGCATATAAGGAGGGGCAGGGTCCCCTAGTTGGCATGCCCCATCCCACATCCAAGCGCACACGTAATATCATACGATAGCCAATACAAACCAACAAACCACAGGAGTAGGGTATTACGTCGTGCAGACGGCCTGAACCTGTCTAACTCTTTTGTCTCTGTTGCCTTCTTATTCTTGATTACGCGCACCTCTGCCGATTAATCTATCTTCGTGGGATACTCCTCGGAGGACTGCTGACGATATTCTGTTGATAGTGATTTACACACATCACTAGTTCCCATATGCTTTATCTGTTCCTTGAGACTAGAGAAGCCAGGAGGCGCTGGCGGGAGCCTCCCCCATGAGGAACAACCAAGTTGGAGTTGGAGTCCCGGTTAACCTTAGCTTGATAGGCAGTCTCCAACGGGAGACCCATTGCAGAACCCAAATCTAAAATGGGTCTCCAACACAATACCTATAGCCTCCAACTGAGTACCTATATGGAAGACCCATTTTGGTACTGGGAGAGGCATAACCTAAATCTAAGTATCCTCTCTCCTGGAGACCCATTTGCAGAAAGAATTGTCTTTTGGTCTTGTTGTTAGAGAACACAAAAAAATATGTATTGAACCTTTTGCCTATAGCGCTACTCAAATGATGAATGAGCCTTATATTTTGGGTCGCAGTTGTTGGAGATAGTCTTAGAGCATCTCTAAGAGGTATTCTAAATTTTTCTCCCAAAAAATTCATGTTTTCCAACTCATAAAAATGTATTCGGAGAAAAAAGGTCATCTCCAAATAGTTTCCAATAATTTACTCCTAAAATATAGAAGACAATTTTAGATGATGAATCATATACTATTTTTAAATTATTTTAACTAATTTTATATATTCTTTCTCTTTTGTACATTTGCATTTGGACCATTTCATACTCTTTATTCTTTTTTCGTCGTTTCACTTTTAGTTGGCCAAAGAATACGCATGTATCCGGGCGACTGCGACTCCGCGCAAAGTTACGCGTGATGGGAGAGGATTTTCCAAGTGTCTAAATTTTAGGAGGAAGGATTAAGAGTTATTGGAGAGGGATTTTTTCTCATCTTGCCAAAAACCAAAGATTGGAAAGGAAAATAGGGGGTACTCTTGGTGATGCTCTCGCTGTTATATAAAGTGTGGTTTTTTGAGAAACATAAATCCGCCCTAAACATTTTTGTGCAACCGCACCATGGGGCAGTTTGGAAACTAAGAATTTCTGTGAAGATTTTAGAACTACAAATGGGCGCAGTTGGCGGTAACTGCTGCACGCCATGCATGCTGACCATGCTCAAAGACTGGGAGGCTGTTGTGCATGATCTTGAATTAGACTATGTCATGGGTGGACTGGGGAGGCTGATCTTAGAACTCTATATACAAAAAATCAATCAATGATCATGGTATATATACCGTGAATTTTCTTATTATATTATTAGTGACCATGGTATATATACTGCGAATTTTCTCATTATATTTTTGGTGGGATTATCAATTCACAGCGACACATCTTTCAAAACTAGGATTCTGTTTATTCACTAGTAATAATCATGGGGAAATTCTAATGCATACATAAATAAACTAGCACACTGATCGATCTGAATAAAACTGGGGAACACTTGTCTACTGGAATACTCGAATCGAAATGGATCTGAGGGAACACATGTCTATTGAGATACTCGAAATGGTGGTTGTCGAAACACAATAATAAAAATACGATCGGATTCAGACGAGGAACTTATGATCATATCTTCAGACGTGGAAACAGCCCAAGAACAGCTTGAGGAGCGCCTCCCTGAACTTGAAGGAGAAGGATGCGTTCCTGAGGTGATAGCTCTTGCACGCGTCGTCCTTGCAGTCGCAGGCCACGCCCAGCCTCTGCAGGTCGTGCGCCTGCGCGGCCTGCTCCTTGACGTCGACGGGGCTGTCGAGGACGGCCATGTCGCAGCGGATGGCGAGGCAGTCGTCCCTGAGGAACCTCGACTGCTCCAGGTCCCTGCGCTTCATGAACTGGGAGTAGCCCAGGGCCTTGTTGCTGTTGCTGAAGGTGGCGGTGAGGGCCCCGCTCTGCGGCTGGTCCCCGGCGGCGGCCGGCCACCCGCCGCGGTGACACACCAGGGAGAAGTTGAACTCGACCAGGACCTTGTCGTCGCGCTTGCCGTTGCCACCGGTGTCGTCGTCGTCGTCGAGCTTGAGGAAGAGGGAGGCGTGGCCCGCGTTCTCCCTGTTGTCCCCGTCGGGGTAAAAGCGGATCCTCCAGGTACGGTCCGCCGCCTCGAACCTGCAAGAGTCGATGCACTTGCCGGTGCCGTACATGGCCTTGATCCGCTTGTAGCCCTCGATCTTGAACATATGGCACTTGGTGGCGGCGGCAGTGGCCACGGCGGTGGACACGGTCACCTCCGCTGCTGTCGTCGTCGACATAGCTAGCTGCCTACTCGCCGGACGAACTAACGATCGATCGGAAGCAAAGTTTTAAATAGCGCTATAGCGGACGCTATAGTGCTATTTAGCGGATCTGGAAGACCAACGCTAAGCTACCAAGATTTTAATGCTAAACGATTTTTCCCGCTATTAGCTGTTAATAACGCGCTAATTCCACTAAATTGTGGTTCATTTAGCGCCGCTATTAGGCCTGTGCTTTCATTTCCATCGGCCCAATTAACGTACAGGCCCAAATCGTTGGGATATGAAGCTGTCCCAGGTATAACCCTAGCCATTCGACACAATTTCCTCCGGAGCTCAAGTGAGCTGCTGTGACCGGCGAGGGTGCAAGCTGCAAGACCGGCGAGGGTGCAAGCTGCAAAACTTTGAACTCACGTATGTCCCTATGTGATGTATGATGTATCATTTATGAACTACGAACTTTGATGTAATGTGTTAGTAAGACTTTGAACTATCTGTCTCTATTGGTATTTGTAATGTTTTCATCTTCTATATTTTTATTATGTGTAAAATTACATGATGTTTGGCATATTTTTTGCTTAGCCGTTAAATAACTTAGCCCGCTATTTAGCTCGCTATAGCCTTTTTGAGCCTTTGGAAGAGGCTGCCGCTAAGAGGCTTAGCCCGCTATTTAAAACATTGATCGGAAGAGAGGTGCGACTGCGGTGGATAGGATCGATGATTGGGTCGATCAGATGGGAATTTAGATACGGCTTATATAGAGAGACATACACGTTTAATCTGAGAGTAAGGGTGTGACGGTTGCTGCATGCATGCATGCCATCGCGCGAAACGGCCGCGTTGTTACGCTCGTTTGGATCGGATCGGGATATCAACTTCTCAGATATGCATGGTGACCGGGCTTTGGGATCATCACGATAGTAAAATGCATCTTATCGATCATGCATTCATCTAGTCATTAGGCTATCTTCAACGACAACACCCAAAATATAAGATATATTCGTCCTTTGGCTAGCGCTACAAGCAAAAGGTTCAATACCTATTCGACATTTTCTTCAACAATAAAACACAAAAGAGAATTATTTCTGTAAATGTATTTTCAGGAGTGAGGATGTCCATATTTGGGTTGTTCCTCTCAGGCAACCCAAAATAGGTCTCCCGTATAGGTACTCTGTTGGAGGCTGATTTTAGATCTCTTGCTACCCATTTTGGATTTAGGTGTCTATATAGGTTCCTTGTTGGAGACAGTCTTAGGAGTTTCCGGACGTATTCCTTTTGCCATTAAGCAACTATATAATCCCGCTAGAATGCTTTTAGTAAGTCTTATTCAATTCCCGGCCTCTGTTCGTTGGTTGGTTTTTAGGTTGATAAGCTCGGTTAGTGCTGGTTTGTTGTGAGAGAAAAACACTGTATCATGGCTGATAAGCCCTGACTAAAACCAACAAGCGAACCGTCTATGCTTAAAAAAAGCACAACTCGCTTTTTAAAAATAAACAATTATCAAATTTAACAAAATATATAAAAACACTAACATTTTAACGAATAAGTATCACTAGCAAAAATATCCGTGCGTTGCAACCAAACATACACCTTATTATGCGGTCAAATGAACAACTTGTGGCTCAGAGATTTATATGATAGTCGCGTCATCTGTTCCAAATACATATTAAAATCAAACTCTATATCATTGGGTCTCGAAGATATATGTAATGTTCACATCATCTGCTAGAATTGGATTTTGAAATTTGAAATTAAATTTAAAATTTCAAATAACCTCGGATGTTAACAATAGTCTATACCAAAGTTCTAGTTCTCAATATATACAATCTATAACATTGTAGTTGACATGCTTTTGTTATTAAGAGTCCCAAATATATGTTTTATAAGTTTTTAGATTTTAAAATTAGAAATTCAGAATTTCCTAATGACCTTGAAAGTTCATATAATTAATAAAAAATGTTGTAGTGGTCATTCCGATCTACAATTTTGCAGGTTATATTATTTTATTTGAAATGGTTTCAAATATTTATTTTAAGTTTTGATATTAAAATTTTTTAAATTTTCAAACAATTTCTTAGAGACACATTATACTAAAGTTGTCGTAATGTTTGACAAGCGACGGAAGCGAGCTGTGGTGGAAGGAATACGTGTCAGTCAATGACTAGACATATAGGATGTGTTTGGATAAAATATAAGCCAGGCCGGCTAAGCATGGCTCCAGCGACCCAACCTGGTATTGTTTGGTTCACTTTTATAAGCTAAGCCTGTATAGGAAAGTTTAGGCTTGTATAGCCAATCTCGACAAGAGGACGCCGGATCTGCCACACCGAAGCAGAGCAGGAATACCACCAGAGCTGAAGTTGACGCCCTTATTTTCTTCTAGCCGAAGCTCGGAGGCTGGTCGCACCGGAGCAGGATTCCACCGAAGCTGAAGTTCACGCTCGGAGGCCAGACGACGCGGAGGTGGGGGCGCGGCAGTGTGCGGACAAGGCGGCGCAGAGGAGCGTGCCGCCGGGTGTGGGGCCGGCGGCGTGGCCCTGCGCACGGCCGGGCGCGTGCTGGGCAGCGCGTCGGCTCGCACGGCCAGATAACACGGAGCTGGGGATCTCGGAGATGGGGGTGCGGCGGTGCGTGCGGCGAGCATGGGGGCGTGAGCGGAGAAGGCGGCGCAGAGGAGCGCGCCGCTGGGTGTGGGGCAGGCGGCGCGGCCCTGCGCACGGGCGGGCGCGTGCTGGGCGGCGCGTCGGCTCGCACGGACAGACAGCACGGAGCTGGGGATCTCGGAGATGGGGGCGCGGTGGTGCGTTCGCGTGGCCGAGCTAGGGGTCGCGGCGGTGCGGATGCTTCTCTTCTCACGGTGCGGCGATGGCGACTCGCGCGGCCGGACACAGCGACTCGCCCCTCGTGACTGCTAAGCCTAGCCAGGCTGGCTGGAAACGCTCACCCTGTTCGTTTCTGGTAAGCCAGGCTAATAAGGCCCTCTATTTGGCTTGCTGAGCCTGGTTACGGGTCTCTACGGGTCTTTACAGGCAACCAAACATGCCTAAGCTGCATTATTAGAGCCTGGTTAAGGAGTAAGCCGTTATTAATGGTGTGGTTGCTACATGCGATCGCAAAAAGGACACCGGTTACAATATTTTCACTGGATCGGAACGTGTATAATCCCGTAACGACCTAACAACCTAATAGTAAAATCTCATTCTCTGTATAAAAAAAAAATCTCATTTTCGCATCCAAGCATGCATCTAGGCATCAGGAAGAGTACAGTCCATGAGCAGCAACACATAAATGGACTCACAGGCCAATTAGACTACCCACAATATGGGCAGGGATCGATGTTGAAAAGAGGAATGAGAAGGTCAGAACATCGATTTGTATATTGTGGGTAGTAATGCCTGAAGAAAAAATACTGGCATCGATGGATTTCACTTCTTGAAGCTCAACTGAGCATAGAGGAGAGTAAAAGGAAATACACGTGTCATTTTGTTTTTCAGTAGGCCCACGTCTTAGATAGCCACAGTGGTGTACATCGGTTCCTAGAATAGACTCATCTTTTAGCATCGATCCTGAAAACTGTAGTCTCTAAGCATCGATTATACCCATGCAGCAGGGAGCCCGAGTGACTGCACAAAGTTGTTTGGTCAGTAACATTAAATACATTCTATCTAAAAAAATTGATGTTCAGGATTCAAAAAATGTCTAAAAAAACTTGATTAGCTCTTGGACAATAGACTGGCTCATATTACCTTGAGATTGTGGTTTGCATGCCTCCATAAATTCTTTTTAATGAGAGAATTATTCTTTAGTTAGCATGGTTTAACTTCAATAAATAAGAGTACATAGGTAATTTTCATAAAGCACTGATATGTCCTTACCTCCATAAGTTTTTTTTAGACAAATGAGGTAAGTTTACAATATACGAGGAAGCAGTTTCCGGACAAGTTTCTTTGGCCATGAAACAACGGATGCGAGTTCTCGTAGGAATCTTGAAATGCTTAAAGTCTTATTAAATATAAATACTGACTCCATCTAAAAAAGAACGCACAACTCACTTCCAAAAAAATCAACCATTCTTAACTTTGACATAATCTATAAAATAATACTAACATTTTATGATAAAAAATAAATATAATTAGATTACCATGCATTAGTTTTCATAGTAAACCTATTCGGAGATATAGATATTGAAACAAATTTTCATGAACTTAGTTAGATTTGAAACTGGTTGACCTTTTGAAAAGTAAGATGTTCAGTCATTATTAAGATTGGGATGGAGGAAATAATACTACACCTAGTTTGATAAAAATGATATTTTGGCTTCTGGACTAAACGAATAAACGATGCAGGCATTTTTAGTCACCGCCTTAGTAAATGGTTAGACCCGTCTCAAGCAGGGACGAAGCCAGAAAAAAATTTAGGAGGGGCTGAACAAAAGATTAGAAGCTTTTTTATCTTCTCTTAACCTTAGTCCCTCCTACTTAATACATATATGCATAAAATTTTAAAGGAGAGCTTAGGGAGGCTCCACCTGCCTAGGATCGGTAGGGGGGCTAGAGCCCCCCAGCCCCACCGCTGCCTCCGTCGCTGGTCTCAAGTAAATGCTTGTCTTTGTTAATCATTTGTAGATGTGGACATCCTAATGAGACGGTCTTTATTAATCGATTATTTATAGGGGCGGTTTCCTTAGGACGTCCAACTATGTAAATCGATTAGCAGAGCCAAACTTCTTCAGATGCCTGCCTCTAGAAATCAATTCACAGAAGCAATCTAAGAGACCAATTTCTAGAGATAGTTGCGTCAAAAGTAGTTCATAATTTTTTCATATGAAGTCAAATGAAGATAAACTTCATATAAAAAATTATAGATCTGATGCGATATATAACTTTGTAGTGGATAAGTTTTTTTTATTCAAAATAGTTTAGAGTCCCAAAGTTTTATTTTAAATTTCTTCGTTGGTTTTATTCAAGTAATTTATGTTTGTAATTATGTAAGTGCTAATTCGGTTGATCCCACATTGG